AAATGGGGGAAGAGATTTTACAAGCGATAATTTACTTAGGGGGAGAATAATTGTACGCAATAATTCAAGTTTAATTTCGCTTGGAGAATAATTGTTCGCAATATGAATTCTAATTAATTCTAGTTTTTTTTCATCATTCTTAATTCTTTTTTTTTCTTTAGTAGCCCGTAGGCCGTTCTTTTATACATTTTTTTGGTTTTTTTTTTTTCGACATTTGTTACTTTTTAATACTATTTATTAATAAAACGTTTATATTGAACATTTTACTATCTATGAAAGAAACTGATGTAAGCTGAATTGAAACTAATAGAACTATGTTGAAGAATGACGTGAAGACGCTAATAATGATGGGGGAATGCTGAAAGATGATGGGGAGACGCTGAAGATGACGTGGAGATGCTAATAATGATGGAGGAATGCTGAAAGATGACGGGATGAAGCTGAAAGATGATGTGGAAACGCTGAAAGATGATGTGGAAACGCTGAAAGATGATGACAAATGCTGTATTTCGACAAAAGCAGGCGTAGAGGAGATCGCATTTTCGTACTGTATTCCAAAAAGGGAAACCTGTTGTTTTTAACTTCACGTTAGGGGGAATTTACAGTATTATGCTGAAAAACCTACAGCAGCGTTGCTGATGATTGTGATGGGATTAGGAAATCTGCAGCATTGTTGATGGGAATTTGCTAAAGCAACGCTGAAAAATATATCGGTTTGGGAAATCTGCGATATCCACGGCTCATCTTTCGCTGTTTCATCCAGAAAAGCCGGAATTGAAGATTTTTGTTCGCCGGCGGTAACGATATGCCCTTTCCAATGTCCTTTCCAATGTACATGTATTAATTAAGGGATCGACGAATGCATAATGTGTAGTTGTTATATATGTTCTTTTTTTAGAGAACGGTTAAAGCGTAGTCCATCACGTGACATATCTTAAAATATTAAAAGGTGATTTTAACGTTAGGGTTAGGGTTGGGAAGGAGATCAAGTTTATGTTTAAAATTGCCTTCCCGACATTTTTAATTAGTGCTCCAAGAAAGATTTAGCACCTGTTTTCCGTATTTTTTCATTTTTTTCTTTGCTTCAAATTTGTTTTGCCGGGTTGATTAAAAATTTACGCATCCTCATTGGTTTGTTTTTCGGACAGATTATCGGCTTTAACCGATCCCTTTTTTTAGAAAATAATTCCCAATCGAGATTAATTTTCAGTAACGGTAACGCTATTAAGTCGAATAGGGAATAATAGTCATGCTTTCTTTTATAATAAAGGTTAATTTGACTGGACTGTTGAAACGAGCAATCCATAACGATACTACGTATTTACATTATATAATGCTAATAAAGATGATTATTTCCTCTTTCGACTCATATCGAAAGTAGGTATCGTGAAATAAGAATTTTCGTCTGTCAATAGCTCAGCTATTGCATTATACCAAGCAAGAAGCGAAGCAACAATACCCATATAACCACCAGCTTTCTCAAGATCAGCATTCTCTAGGAACTTTGAAGCAGTTAATAAGGTAAATGTTATTGTTACAGAGATAGATAATAAAACGATGGAACCTTTCGTTTTAAATGTGGCCAGGAGCATAAGAAACGAAAAGATTGTCCAGCCAAGTTGAAAAATTCCAAGTGCTTGATTCAATTCGGATTGAGATGCGTATGCAGCGGTAATATTAAATCCTGGGATTAGAATTGTAGCATAAGAAAGCCAAAATCCACCATATGATGAGCAAATGGTAGCGCTAAGTGTGTTGCCAACTTTGAATTCCCACATTCCAGCCAGAAGTTGTACAATGCCTCCGTAGAATAAGGCTAAACCTACGACCACATTCGGATGTGTAATGCCGCGAGCTTGGACAGTGTAAATGGAAAGAACAAAAGTGGTAAGGGCGAAACTAAACAAGCCTGTTTGAAGAACATTGAAAATTATTTTAGTTTGAATTTAAGCTTTTAGTGAAGCATGTTTTTCGTTACTAGAGAGATTTGTCGATTTATACCAAGTGGAGTAGGGTTACCAAATTTTGCATTAAGACGTAGTTCTTCAATCATTTCTTAAAGTTGTATGTCGTTAAAATTTATAATGATAATTTATTTTCGTCAAAATCTTTAGCAATTATGTAATGAATAATTTTTGGCGGTAAATGCTTTTAAATACTATTTATGATAAACATGAAATAGTGCTTTTAAGTACTATTTACTATAAACATGAGTCAGTTGTTCAAGATCAATAAGAAACAAATTAGGTTATTAACATTTGATCGTATAACGAGAATAGAACGTAAAATTTGCTACACCAAAAATGATCAATTTTTAGTTGTGAGACCTTAAATTATTCCTCCCCATTGATGATAATTTGATTCTTTACACATTCGGAAGGACGAAAATGTACATGCCTAACAATCCGTTTCCTTTTCGGTGCTGCATAGCAAAACAGAATAAAAAAAGCTTTCACCGAATATCCTCTTCGAATAATAGATCTTTATAGAAATTTCGAAAGATAAAAACTTTTTTTTGCAAAGCTATGTATATATAATCTTTAAAGTAAATCTAAAAATAATAACAAAAACAAAATCTCGTAGAGTTACCGCTTTTTAAGATTTTCGTGTTCGCACACACGCATTTACACATGAATAGTTGTTGCCTGTAAATGAATTGTTGTCAATTCTATAATTTCACATTCTACAGTTTTTATGATGGTGTTTATTTGTTGAAGTGAGAGGTGGTTTTTTTTGCGATAGCAACGGTTAGATGACTCGACAAGAAATCATAAACTTGGGAACTGTAGTAAGTGAGTAAAAATGTGAATGCTATGTTATTTTTTTGATAATAAAAATAAGATTATCACCTTTATACTTGTGAAAAACAACATAACCAAGTGTTCAAACACTAGCATCAATAATGTATTAATGTCATGTGACGGAGAATTTGGAAAGTACGTAATTTTATAATTTTATGCACACTACGCAATTATTTTAGTTAGTGCAATCGCTGCATTATGCTCAAGTTAGATCTTATTATTGCTACAAGTAATTTAAACATATATTAATCAATTATTGATTAATATTGAAAGACTTGAATTTAAAATATCACTGGCGACTCATCTAATGTAAACGCGAAAATAATGAATATGCTACTGACTCAAGTAATTCGAATAAAGGCTTATTTTCTATATTTACATCTAAGCTATTTTTATAACCATTATAAATCATAGCCAGGAAGATGATTATTCACAATAACTTTTGCCTACAAAAGGATTTTTATCATCTCCCATATCGGTAAGTATCTTCGCTAAAAATTCAAGTTAAAATAAAGCGGGGATTGATAAGACAAAGTAAACATTATGATTATTTTTCTTTCACAATTCTGGTTTAAATAAACGTCAACTATTTCAAATGCAAACGATTGTCAGAATAATAAAAACAACACTGGAGTTTGACATTTAGGGAACGTTCTCCACCTACTATATCACCCGTCACACAGGAAGTAAAGTGAAAATAAATATGATTCCAGGAATTTTTAGCTGGATAGTTAGTGTTAGAATATTTTATATATTAATGAAATAATTGCGAAAATTGAATGGTACCTACCTTACTCCTTGTCGGTAGATCTGTACAAAATCATAATAATTCCTGTTATACGTAGAATATTATAGAAAAATGACTAAAACAAATACACAACTAATTATTTACGTATTTATGCTGTCCGTCTCATGATAAAAAAGAAAAGATATATAGTCATCCCCATATTTTTTCCCAGTTCAAGCTATTATGAGGCATATGAAATTTGACTTCCATATACCGTAGTACTGACTAATGTATCCCCCTTTGTAAAAAATTTAAGCCTTGATTTAACTTCGAGACTATTAATTTAGCAATAAAGTCTTTGAAAAGCTTCTGTGAATCATGTTTCACTCATTTTGCGAAAACAATTGGTTCTACTAAAAAAATTAGACTAAGTTAAGGTTAAATTTCTACAAAGAAATCAATGCAAAATTAATCCGTGAATATGATAGAATAGGCCTTTCTTAATCATACTCACGGATTAAATTTTGTATTGATTTCTTAGTAAAGAAGTTTATAGAATTAAACCGACCGTATTTCTTCGATTTAACGGTACGTAATTGACTATGTATTTTTTTTGGATAAAATATGTGACAGGTAATCAATATTTAATTAAAAATAAATAGTATGGTCTGTCACCCGAATGGTCTTAATGTTGAATTATAAAAAAGAGAAATCTTTAACTCATGCGCTTAATGACCACCACTTAATATTATGTCCAAGTCATTTATCTATGCATTTGTATAACTTTTGGACAATGATCAAAAAACTTGAAATTTTTAATATAACATACTTCAAACCATTTTAAAGCTACAAGCTTAGAATATAAAAGCATGATTTTTATTAATCTTTGCACTATCAATAAAGGTATAGTGACGTACTTTTTTCGTGCAAATTATTGGTTTTTTTTGAAATATCATATTCAGGTCAATTTTAGCTATTAAATTTCAATGAATGCTTAAAAGACATGTCATTATATTTTATTATTATGTCCGTATATTTATTGCTACGTCATATATTGATATTTTAACACATAGAAATTTTGTTAATACAAACTGTTTTAACATGTAAGAGTCCTAATATTAAAACTATTCAGTGACAAATTCGGTGATACTCCATCGTAAGTTAAAGAATTCTTTTTTTCTTTAATAAAAATTCTTTCTATTTGTTTAATTAGTAGGTCAATAACGAAAAAACTAATGAAAAAACTCATATAGATGCTCTAAGTTTATGAATTCAAAATATTCCAAAGTATGCAATAAGTTTTTTAATTACTATTTAAAAATTTTATCTAAAAAAACATCAAAATATTATATTTCAAAACTTCTGAAAAAACTAGTGTTCAAAGCCGTTTTGCAGCTGGAAGCTCAGACGGCTTGAGATTTTGGTCAGCTTGTCGGCTCAATAGTTTTTGATATGGCTGTCCGAAAGCTGGATTGTGGTAGCTAGTTAGCCATCTTGTTTTCTGACTCGTCAAATTCAATTCTAACAATTAATGCTTCATACTCAGTGCTGGAAAAGTGGTTCATGCAATGTGATTAATATAATTAGATGCAACTGTGCAGTGTACAATTTGTCATAATATTGTGCAACTTCAATAATAGCTTTACATTCAGAAATTTCTTTAAAATTCTTCTTTTTGCTGACAGAAGATAGATTTTGTATTTCAAATACTTGGAATATGATATTGCGAACAGTGATAGCAATAATTTCTTATATATCTTTCATTTTTTTCATAATCTAAAGTATTACAGAAAAATAAATGGAAATAAAGCAATAATTTTTGATAATTACTACTAAATAATAATGATCAAAAATGAATGCATTGATTCACTCACACTTTTTTATCTTTAACAAATAATCTGAATATTCTTTGAAACTGGATCATGAATTTGATAAAAGAGTTTGTTATATTACTATATAATTGTTCTTAAGTGAGAGATATTGATAAATATTGAAAAAATCAATAATATTTATTCTTAAACTTTTTTGCTGAAATCAGTTTGTTGCTTGAGTATTTCTTGATCAGAGCAACTTTATAAAAAGTTAGTTTTTGAATTTTATATAAGACTTTCAACTAATATACTTGCTTTATAATAAGTTTATTGTAATATTTAACTCATATATTTAACTCATATATCATCTTGTTTCACTTTTTGCTATGATAAAGAGATTATTTAATTACTATTATTATATTTCTTGTCTTTTGTAACTGTTATTAATACAAATTGTAAGAATACTTTCTTATATGAAAAGTAATAAGATAAATTTATTAATTGCTGTAAATAAATTATATCAATTGAAATAGTTTTCAGTTTTAATTTTA